CTCTACCTCCCCCAGAGGATGAGGAGGGTACAGTCCAAAGTAAGCACAAGCTTACCTAAGGTTAATGCCTATTGGTACGGCATTAAAAAATTACTAAAGTGCCCCATTGGGCGGTGGAGGACTTAGAGCTAAGACACCCCAAAACTCTCCGGCGTGAGATCCAAAATGGATCGGACGGTGGAGGGGGGGGGGGTGTTCGTTGCTTGAAGTGGATCGATAAAACATAGAGCCATCAAAGCAAAGCTTATTACTCACGTCGAGCAAGCTGAACGACCGGACCAACCACGCAAAAACTGCGGAGCTAGATGTGCGGCACGCACAATGCATTGTTTTCGATTGGAGAGAGGCGAGTATAAAGCAGTAAGGAATTGTTGGCCAAACTTTCGGCAGATAGGTCTACTCGGGAGCGTAAGTGGGGTAGCAACCCATGGTGGAGCGTACATGAGAAGCTGGACGTTGGTGTACGCCCCATCCCGGCGTGTGAGTAGGATCTTAGGCTATGCAAGTCGTCCCTGAACTTATTGTGGTGAAAATGACCTCCCAGGAGGAAAGTAGCCTGTACCGCGGGACTTCGGAGATGATAAATTGGGTGGTCGGGGGACGTCTGGGTGTTAACTAAGCAGAGCGCCCGGCACAAGACTGGGGTACTTGTGTCAGGAGGTGTGAACTTGGATCTAGACTACGAGCCTATGTTGGAGGCGCTATTTAGCGTCGGTGAGCCGGCAAAAGAACTGAAAGGAACCACAACCCCCGCCGGACACTCGGATTGGGAAGGCCGAGTATTCCGTATACCTTCCTGAAAAAACACGAAAAACAAGTGGCCACGGTCCAGTTGCCGTAGAGATCATGAGGATGGTGAAGAAGCTTGGAGGATGGAAGCAGAAACTGTGGAAGGGAGACAAGTTGGAGCTGCTGCTGTTTGGGATTCCAAGGGACATGACGAGGATAGAGTTCAAGAACTGTTGTGACAGGGAGGGACTGCACTGCCTAGCAAGGGGACAAGTAGGCAGAGAACATGAACACTTCCGGGTGAAATTGACCAAGGGAGACAGCCAAGAGTGCTTGGGGGTTGATATCGAGAAGCTGTCGAACTACGTAAGGAAGTTTGGATGGAGGGTTTGCATCGCGAACATGATAGAAACAGAGAAGGTAAGGAGACAAGAGGCGAGGGCGACGGAGGCGAAGAAAGGACCGAGCAGGGCAGTCGAACAAGCAAGTCAGAAGAAGTCCGAGAAGAAGCGGAAGGCGAACGATGGTGTGCGCAAAATCTCCAATAGGGAAAAGCGCAAGCTGAGAGTCGGGTCGTGGAACGTGTGCGGGTTCGCAAGGAGTGAGCGCAAGCGGTTGGAAATAGTGGACCAAGTAGAACAAAGCGATCTAGATGTAGTGGGGATCCAAGAGACGTGGGAATTGAAGGATGGGGACGTGGTAAGCAAACTAGGGAAATACCGGTGGGTAGGGAAGGCAAGAAAGGGCTTAGACCCGAAGAAAAGGGGGGAGGGGGGAGTCGGATTCCTGGTCAAGGAACACTTGTTTGACGTGGTGGAAGTAGTGGTGAAAACGGAATTCGAGGAAAGCCTATGGCTAAAGATACCTGGGGAGCGGGGTGAGAAAGACTTGTTTCTAGGGAACGTATACGTCCCACCGTCGTCGAAGAAAGTCGCAAGCAAGGCGCAGGAGAACTTTGGACAAATTGGGGAAGATGTCCAGAGGTTCAGTAGGAAGGGAGAAGTTGTCATGGTGGGCGATTTCAACTCCAGAGTAGGGAAAGCTTCCAGTAGAGGACAGGCGATCGGGCAGCACGGAGAAGACAAAGTGAATGACAACGGAGTGAGGATGCTTGAATTCTTGGGAAGCAACGAACTGATGGTGTTGAACGGTAGGAGGGAATGCGATAAGCCGGAGTTCACAAGGCAACGGGCAGTTTGCAATGAATACTCAATCCTCGACTACATCCTGGTAGACAGGGGGAGCACGCAGATCCCAGAGCTGCACATAAGTGCGATAGATATAGGTTCGACCGACCACTTCCTCATATGGGCAAACATCGACCGATCCAGAAAGATCAAGAGTAAGAAACAGAGGAAAGTGTTCCGATGGAAGGTAGAGCGTTTGGGAGACGATGGGACACGGGATGAATTCCAGAAGGGGCTGGCTGGTAGTGTAGAATCCTTCAGGAAACTGCTGAGAAGCGTCGAAGACGGACAGGTAGACGTACAGACAGCAGGGGACAGGGTGATTGAAGGGTGGGAGTCCATCGTGAACGCAACGGCAGAGAGAGTAGTGGGAAGGAAGGTGGTACGATGTGGGGTATCGGTTAAGTGGTGGGATGACGAGCTGAAAGAAGAAATAGGGGAACGTAGAGAAGTGTTCAAGCAGTACCTGCGTAAGGCGTCTGAGGAGAGTTGGGAAACGTACAGGGCCAAGAGAAAACAGGTNAGGTGGTACGATGTGGGGTATCGGTTAAGTGGTGGGATGACGAGCTGAAAGAAGAAATAGGGGAACGTAGAGAAGTCTTCAAGCAGTACCTGAGTGAGGCGTCTGAGGAGAGTTGGGAAAAGTACAGGGCCAAGAGAAAACAGGTGAAGGGACTAGTGAAAAAGAAGAAAAAGTGTATTTGGGACGAAGTAGTGCAGAAGGCCAACGGAGGCCTGGAGGGGAACATCAAGCAGATGTGGGAAGGGACTAGTGGCATGGTAACAAGGACCGCTCAAGGGGTGATACAGGGGTCGCAACTTTGCGAGGTGTGGACGGTGGATCAGTCAGCAGTGGGAAGGGAAAAGGGGAAGTTCTAGCAGGACACTACAAGA